AGTTTAATCATTAGATGCATCTGTACAGGAAGTGTTTAGGAAGGCTGTGTAAGTTACATGCAGGGAGATATGACTAGGGCTGTATTAACACAGTGATTTAACTCCTAAATGTCAGTGAATTAAGCAGTGAGGCTGCAGAGGCATGATCTTTACGCCAAAACCGTTTCATTAAAGGAACACTATAGACACCCAGACAACTTCATCTCATTGAAGTAGCCTATGTGCAGTATCGCCGACCCGTCCCCTTAACCATGCAATGTAAAACATTGCAATTTTAGAGAAACTACAGAGTTTTTGCAAAGTTAAGCCTACCTCTAGTGGACATAGTCCACTTGCATGAGGACGTCCAGCGTCTTCTAAATCCCCATAGAAAAGCATTAATTCTATGGTTTACTATGAGGAAGGCCTAATGCTCACGGTGCTTGCTGCACATGCACATTAGGCTCCACCTATTGGCTGACATTGGAGGAGCTTGACCTATCACCGAAGGACACTGGAATCAAGTAAGTGTTTAATGGGTTATTAAACCCTTTATTTGAAGGAGGGAGATACAAGGGAGGGGAGGTGCGGCAGAGCGCCAGTTTTGTATTCCTAACATTATAGTGTTTCTTTAAGTTCTTTAATTGTTTATTAAGTTGTGTTTTGGTACCTATTGTACCTAATGTGTCCTTTTAATGCCTGTAACCAGTGAAGCAACCTTTATAAAAAAAATTTGGATTATCTAAAGAGGGACTGATACTATGACTTCAATTTAGGATCTTATACTTGGGTGATATCTTTCTATAACATTGAGTATGTTTCTCTACAGAGTTACAGGATAGTGGCTGATGTGAACCCCAGTCAAGCACAGGCCTGGATGAATATGGGAGGCATCAAACATATCCAGGTAGGAATGGGGACCAGTCAATGTAGCAGCAAATACAGTAGAGAGATAAAGAAAAGCTTGAGAAAAGTGAGATCTAACTGATGTGAAAGTTCAATTAAAGGGAGACTATAGTGCCAGGAAAACAAAGTTGTTTTCCTGGCACTATGGATTCCTATAGTACCCACTATGTCAATCTCCCCCATCCCATGATGTGATACAGAAGTAATTAAAATCTCAGGCTCCGCCGCAGCTCCTCAACAGGGACACTACACCCAGACCACTTCAATGAGATGAAGTGTTATGGGTCCCTATAGTGTCCAATTAAAACTGCTATATAAAAATTAAAGGTGGAGTTAATTGAGAATATGATATACACATGACAGTGATGAAGCAGGAACGAGTAACCTAGAGCTCCAGAAAACTGAACTACATTACTGTAGCTGCACAAAATGGGCATCCCAGCTGAGATAATAGAGATTAATGCTGGGTTAGAGTTTGAGAAAATTCAGCAAAGTCAAACTGATGCTATTGGCAAGAAACGAAGTATGCATATGAGTGAGCATCATGCATCTGTAGTGCCATAGTTAGCCACAGCTATTACTGGGATTACATAGAGCTAAACAGGGATCATGTGAAGAGACAACATGGAGCTGCGTAGATGTTATTTTAGTGAGAAATAAGAAAACAGGGGGTGTTACAAACAATTAATGCATTGTTACATAAAACATTTGTTTCTCTATACAGGGCGATTATGTATCTGCTCGCACTTTCTATCAAAAAGCTTTACTGTTGGACCCTGAAAGTAAATTACTTAAAGAAAACCTTGCCAAACTACAGCGTCTGGAAAACCGGTTACAAGCAACAAAAGCAATAGAACCACATTTGCAGATGGACCAAACTAAAGGTTCAGAAAGGATCGAGAGTGATGAGAAAAGAGGAAGAAAGGGTCATCCCAGATCAAATGTAGACCTTTGAGAAAAAGAGAGTAGTTAGTGTAGACACAGTGGACAAAGTATGCCACCTACTGGGAATGCAGTGAGTAGACTGCCATCTGCCAGAAACAAAGCGAGACCAGACTAGCATCTGTTTGAGTCTCAAAGATGCTAAAGCTGCATGGTGTGAAGACCTGCAGAGACACACAGATAACTTGTCTGACCTCAGCAGGTAATGTGGAGTATCACCTGCAGACAGAACCACAAGGAGCATAGACTAAGACCTTAAGAGAGAGCAGATCTGTAGAAATAAGCTAAGACCCAATACTGGCACCTACAGGAAACACAGGTAGAGAACCTTGTTGGTGGTGGTGTGAGAGTACGATCATTGGTAAAACATATTTTTGTACATAAAATGTTAGTTTCTCTTTATTGGCGTTTATATGCATCAGAAGAATGTTTCAAAATATCACCATATCACAAAGAGCCCACGGAAGCCATCTTGCTGTATAAATAGCAAAACAAAAACAAAAAAAATCAAACGAAAAGGGTTATGGCATGGTACCGTATTGCCAAATGTCCTTGTAAATACATTCATGTAACCAGCAGTCTACCTGTAACCAAACGCTTACTTTTATGATGGTGATGTTGATAATGATTTTGGCTATGAATCCAGTTACAAGAAGTCTGTATAACAAACTAGCAAGTGTTCTTATATTTCCTGAATAAATCTACAAGTTTTAATTTTAAAATACCAAAGAAGGTAGGGACCAAATTCCAGTCTGTCACTTAAGGCATTATTTTTACAATCAAACACTTTTCTTCAAACCACAACAGATGTCCAACTTTGGCCCTTCCAGTGCACTACAAATTCCACTATTCTCTGTAAGCCAACACTAGGTTGTCTATAAGAGACAATAAGGAAGTTTGTTGAGATTTTGTTGTTTACGAACAACTGAATCTGAATCTCTGTCTGTAAAAGACTGAGACTTGGTAGCAGCCTGCCATGTGTTCACAGCTGCTTGATGTACACCTTATATATTTGAAGCATTGTTTGCCATGCTGCATATAAAAATTGTTTGAGATACCTCATCAGAAAAATAATCTGTTTAGAGAAATCCACGTTGCACCACTTTAACAAATCCATTAGCATCCTCATGACAACATGCACATACATAAAGCTGCATTGCACCATCTTTAATTGGATAAAGGAAAAAATGTCAATACATTTTCACTTCCAGTTGTTTTTTGTTTTTTTTACATTCTTTGTTTTTGCAGTGCAAAATAAAATAAACAAGCACAGAAAGCTTTCAACAAGATTATGTAAAGCATGAACATTTGCAAACAGAGCATCCGATATGTTGAGAGGGTTGCAAAATAATGTGACAATTCACTTTTAGTTTTTAAAGGTTTATTACATTTAATACTAATTATATTTTTCTTAAATTGAGATTTTTTTTTGTAAAGAAAAATTTTATTTTGTTATCTGGCTGAGCAGCCATGTTGGAGCAGATTCAACATGGCTGCTCAGTGCTGCAAACTTAACTTACCTGCTGATGTGATTGTTCTGTGTGAGACTGCAGGAGTGGGTAAGTTGAGCAGCAGTTGTTCAAATATAAAATAGAATGTGAACCAACAAGGATACTCAGTAAGTTAAAAAAAAATCATTTTTTTAAAAAGTGAATTTTTCGCAAAACAAAATACACCATTTATTATATATATTGAAAATTATTATTATAATTTTTTTTAAACAGTAAAAATTGAACATTTTATGACAGTTGTCCTTTAAGTAAGAATGAGTCATGACTGAAGACGTAGCCTCTGCAGAAGGGTTCATCAATCTTAGATGTTTGTTTCACCCCAGGGGGCCCAAGAAAGTTCTTTGCCCTGGGTCCTATTCATATTATAGACGGCCCTGATGGCTATTGAAAGCTTATTCCAAGACCCATGAACACTTCAGTGATTTGAAGTGATCATATTCCTTGGAGACTATATTTATTGGGGGAGAGCAGGGGGGACAGGATAGAAAGGGTTTCTCTAACCTTTAAGAGAGAGAGAGAGTATGTGTGTGTATATATATATATTTATTTTTATATATATTTGTTACCTAATATGTGTGTTTATGTAGATCTATATATAAATATGCATATATACATTTATTGTTTTCCTCTAATATGTGTGTGAGAGTATATATATATATATATATGTACACATTTTAGGGCAAGTAATGCAATTGTCTTCTATATGATTAAGTACATCAGAGCACAATGTGTGTATTAATTTTGGAATAATCTTGTGTGAGATTAATAATATGATAGGATATGCACACATAAAGCTAAACACTTTTTTTGTGTGATGTGTCCAATGCCTTAAAATGTTATTTAAAACCAAAACTCATTCTGAGTTTTGCATACAGAGCATAATAGCTCTTAAAGGGCAAAGGTCACTTCCCAGTATTTTTAATATTTTTAATATGTTCACATATCCCTATATTCAAAGGGACAATCCTCTGCCAAAATAAAAAAAGTAAATATCACTATTTAGTATATATACCCCCAATGAAAACATCCATGTATGTAATTATGCATTTTTTTCATTGGGGGTAAATCTAAAAGCAACTTGCAAAAGCTGCATATCTCTTGTTTGAACCCTTTACAAGCCCTCCCCTTCTAACCCTGTCCAGACTTGCTGTGGCTGTCCAATCACAGACTTCCCAATGCAGCTCAAGTCTTTGCAAGGCAGGTGCTCTGAGCAATTGCTGCCTCTTGAGTTTAGCTTCAATGAGACAAACAAACCAGGAAGTAAAAAGACTGGATCCTTATATAAAATGCCATTTTCTATTGATATTTGATACTGTGGTGGAATCTCGGTAAAAATAAATTTAGTAGGCCGAGATTACCACGTGGCATGTGTACGTGCATATGCTGACGTATCGAGCAGTTGGTTGCACGAGGCAAGATACGATCAGTAGTGTACGGAGCATGTGCAAGAATACAGGATGTAGTATTCCCCTCCTCCATTGTGCTGGACAAGCCATGCGGTCAAGCAGGAAGTTAATTCTTATTTGTAATGATTGGTCAAGAGAATGTGCGGGTGGAGCTTAATATGGGAGGAGTTATGTGCCTATATAGGGAGCCTGCACTATTGTTCAGGGCTCAGAACTTGCTGTATTTTTGGTGACATTAGTCCCTCTGAGTCCCGATCGGTGATCCAATAAAGAATCTCTTCCTTCCTGAAGAAACCTGTGTCCATCCCTCTGTGCTTTGCTTCCGTCAGTTTCTCCGGTATCAATACTATTTGTAAAATGAAAAAAAAATGGACACACTCTTCACACATAATGGTATTCAGCAAGATGTATTTCTGAGGTGTGAATAATAAAATTAAATTTAGAAATTGACACCTCTTTATTCTACCACATTTTGCCAACATTATAGCTCCCTATCACTAATTATTGCAAGCTCTGTCCTTCTTAGTCAGCATAGACTAGAGAAAGCATACAGAGGAAAAATGAATGAAATAAAATTTCTATTTGCCCCCTTTATTTGCAATCCTTGCCCTGGCCTTGCCTCCTCTGAGCTGGATTATGACGTATGATCATGTATCTGATGTAAATACTTTTTTTTTTTTTTAAACTGAGCATCACATGAAAAAAAAGATTACCACAATTTATCAATGAAATTCAATGTTTTCAGTGGTATAAATTCTGGAGAAGTGACAGTAAAGAAATATACCCACAATGTTTCTAATGAATGTTGCCATTTATCGTGCATGCCTTTGCAAATATAATGAAATGGAGGGTCTATGGCAGGGGTAGGCAACCTACGGCACTAGTGCCATGCACGGCACTCAAGGTGTGTTTGCACGGCACTCAAGGCTGCTAGAGCCAAACAGGCTCTGGCCTATCAGGAGTCCCAGTAAAACTTCACATATCTGCTAATACGAAAAGGTGGTGAAGGACAATCCTCAATTTAAGCATTGCAGTACATAGAGGAAGTGATCACAGATCACTTCCTCCCAGCACTTGTGAATGGTAATCCACACTGTAGTAGAGCAGCCCGCAGCTGCTGTTGCAGCTCCTGTCCTTAAACCTGTATCTGGCCAGCCTGGTCCCCACTGGAACCCAGGGAAGCCACACACATGCAAGATATACACAGAAATGCAGAATAACCCTCCCCTCATACAAATAATATGAACAGCCCACACACAAACATACACACAATCCGCACAAACGTAACCCGCTAACAATCCACATACATGCACACAAACCCACATGCAGCCTCTCACATGCAATACCCCAAACAGCCCCCACACACTACCAAACACACAATGTGACATATCCATCCACACACAATTCCATAAGCAACCCTCATACACAGCCCATATTCATATGTATCATACACAATACCATAAACTACTAATGAACATATACAATATAATAGCTTATATACGCACAAATACAACGATACAAAGCAACTGCAATAGAAATAACACAAGCAGAATATGGCAGCATACACAACTCAATTTAAAAAAATAGGACCGGCATGCTACAGGACATCACCAGCCTATATCGGCACAGTGCTGCTAAAAGGTTGCCTATCCCTGGTCTATGGTTATCAGTGTAATGAAATGTTTGTGCAATTAAATGTCTGGAGGGATAAATGTGATGTTTATTTTCAGCATGTTAAGGAATAGAATACATTTTAAAGATTTTTCTTTTGTGGATAATGGCAATCACAAATATTTACTAAGCTCAATAGAAGTTTTGCTCTGCAGTAATGAAAGATGCTGTTTATTTCATGGTAAGAAAGCACAGCTTCATATCTATATATTCTAATTTGTATTAAATATAATATATATTTCTATATCTATTTATATTAAGGCATACGCATTATTTATACAGAATAATTACAACTATTTTTTTAAGGATGTCAGAATAGCAAATGATTTTGGAAATCCATTATAATCTCTGATGTCATGTAGTTGAATTGGTAGTCATGCTTAGCATTCAGGTTCTTATACGTCCCTCCAGTACACCAATAGGAAATGACCAAAGCACAGGTTGGGACCTGTATTGTACTGTTGTCCGATAGATCTTCTTAGACAGCCATCCAGATTTGAATGCCAGCAGGTCTAATGGGACACTGTGTGAATGGTGGCACTTGCCTTTCAACCCCAAGCAGAGCATCACCACTTGGGCAGAATTTCGTCCGTATGTTACAAATCTGGAAAGATGATAACTAGGTAGTAAGCGCATAGACTTTTAGCCTGTAGCAATTTCAACTCCATTGGTATCTCTGAAAGAGTATTTATTGATTATTAAGCTTTATTGTAAGATTCTGATTTATAAATGTGTTGAGGAGAGTGGAAGCAACCTTTGGAGTTGTCACGATTGAAAAAAGAATCACTGTTTCCATCCATCTGCACATCCACTATTATTATAATTATTATTGACATTTATATAGCGCCAACAGATTCCGTAGCGCTTTACAATATTATGAGACGGGGGATTTAACTATACATAGGACAATTATAACAAAACTTACATGAATGATAGGTTTTAGAGGACCCTGCTCCAACGAGGTTACAGTCTATAGCTAGTAACAAGGATAAAGTAGATTGTGGACTATAATGAGGCCCAAGGCAGTATGTCCAGTTTTTAAAATGAAAAAGCCTCTCTAACACCTGTGGAGTGTTGGCAATTTAAAGAAACCCATCAAATAACTCATACAGGACATTCCTTTACTCTTCTCCCCCCTCCTAGTTATGTATTGCACGTATATGTAGTGCTAAACTGGGCTTGCAAAGAATGCAATATTTAAATGCGTATTGACAATTGTTTCATTGACCTACACTGGGCTGATGGAGCGTATGCTGCTATGCAATCATTACATTAACTGCAATAACATTAATCATAATAATATAACTATTTAGCTTGTGTAATGGCCATGTCTGGATCATATCTTAAATTTGAATATAGCCATCATATTCTTGGTAAATACACAGCAAACCTACATATAATGGGCGCAAACTCCAATTATCACACCTTCTATGGCCCCTACCTGATGCAGTCATACAGTCTATTTGTTTGGAAATCAAAGTGTGATTACTTGGGGAGCCTACATCATAGCCAGAATTCTCTCCGTACCTTATGTTCATTATAAAACCTAAGTAATATAGGAAAAGATCATACTTTTTATTGTCGTCTCCGCAGAGCCACACTGGGAGTTGAGTTCTGTCAGGTAAACTCTACTACTGCTTATGTATTTTGTTTCAGAAAGTTTTCTGATTATTTGTTTAATTTAATCTTTTATACCTATGCTATTAAAAGTGGCTACAGTGTACTATTTGAAATAGTAATAAACTTTACACATTTATGATAGGGTCATGGAAATATATATCCTGATCATAAAACAAGATCAAAAAAGATATTGGCATCTTACAATAATTAGTATAAGAAAGACTAGATGAACCAAGCCATCAATCTTTGTATTTAATGCTAGTTGTTTTGGACTATCAGTTAAGTTGTGTTGTTAAATAGTATGGTTGATCCAAATGCTTGTGTTGTATTTGTTATGATTAATGGATTGGAAATAAAATCATTATGTGTTGTGAGCTAGTCTGCATTGTCTTTGTTAGCTTCTTCTTTATGAAGTTAAATAATGTATTCCTTTGTTTAGGGATCAGTTCGAGTTATCGTGCCATAGCATGGGAATACTGCTGTGACAATAGGAGTCAAATTTAGTTTGGTTCAGTTTTTTTCTCAGTTTCACGGTAAATACTTTTTGTTTGAATGCCCAATAATAAGCATGGTTTGAAAGCCAAGGAAAATCCAAGGACAACAGCTGTGTTACAAATCTTAAAGCAACAATCCAAGCACAATAACTACTACAACATGCTATAGTGGTTACGTAGTCATGAGTTCTCATCACTGCTCCTCACCTCTACTACTTCCTGTGGAGTACTGGAAGCTCTTTATCTAAGCTAAACCCTTCAGTGCAATTGACATTTTCTGCCAAATTAGGAGAGCTAATGAAATCTCCTTCTCCATTAAAGTGTTATTGAATTGCGCAATTGTGGTAGTGTAATATCCAATATGCATCGCTACAGCTTTCTTCTAAATATAATGTGACCATTTCCCCTCAAAGAAATAACATTTGACAAAAACACAGGGCAGTATGCATAGATACACCAATACATCCTATATAAACAAGGCCCTCTCACCAATGGTGGAGCCTTAATTCTTTTATGCCCATGTATTGCACTTTCAACACCCTTAAAAGATAGTGTTCTGCCTAAAGTTTCTGCTTCCTTCTCCAATGAATTGCCAGATGTTTTAATGATGAGAAATTAAAATACTTAATTCCACAGAAAAACTAATTTGAGCCAATAATCAAACAAAAATATTTGAAAAAGTGCTACGGCAAAATAAAATAAAAACAGGTCTGATACATGTTTCGCCAGTGTATGGCTTCCTCAGTCAGTAGTGTTCGGTTTGATTTTATTGTCTTTTAGAGCTTGGAATGCAAATGGATTTCACGGCACACTGGGTGAGGCAGGCACTAACTCACCAGCCACCAACTATAACAGGAGCACCATGTGGGTTGCAGCTCTCCACCCACTGACCCCAACAGCAGTAACATGTGGGACCATGTTCATCCTTCGGCCAACCCCCTCTCCAGCAGCCGCTCCCCATAAGGCCCTGCCCACGCTGCTCTAGGTCCCCTTCTGAGTGTCAGATCCCTAGCAGGCTCAGGTCAGACCTTGGAGGAACAGTGTGTGGAACAACAGGATGGGAGAGAGATCCATGCCGCCCATGAAGGGGGCATGGACGCCTACAAATCAAGGGGAGGCCATTCCTACATATATAGGCCCCCAGACAGCTCTTCATGGGAGGGTTCCTTCTCTCACTCCCCTATTTAAACCATGTCCACCCAAAGCTCATTGCTCACTTCATGTGAGCTCCCTAGAGGTTACAAGTCTCTATTGTCAGTCTGTACTGTCTAAAGATTTTAAACTGGATTCCTGATCCTGAAGTTTTGTTGCCTTGCTTTGACCTTTGCTTGACCCTGCCTCTGTATGGTCCTGCCAAAGACTTTGAGCCTGTTTCCTGATCCTGAACCTTTGCTGCCTTGCTTTGACCTTTGTTTGGCTGGCCCTGCCTCGGGATTGTCCTGCATGAAACAAACAATAGTTGGGAATCGGCGAAACATCTAAAAAAAGCATACAATAAACCAAACATGGTGAAATACAGTTTGTTACAACAAGAATTGCGCTTCACAGGTTACACTCACAGTGTGTTCGTATAGACTCCGCCTTGGGCAGGGCCAGATTAACAACCCAGTGGGCCTGGTGCTGACAATTATGACGGGCCTAATTAAAGAATCAGATCGACCAAAAACATTAAAACACTCCCAAGCGTCATGTATCTGATGGAGATGGTGCTGGAGAGAAAGAAAACAGCAACTATAAGAAAACACATACCCTATGCTAATCTCCCTCTAATTTATGTTTTCATCGTTCAAGTAAATCCATAACCCCTAACAGCAGTGTCCAGTCAAGCAGGAAGTCAATGGGCATGGTAAAAGGGTGTGCCACTGACACAAATCACGTAACCTGCCAAAAGGGATGAACATGCCCAAAAAGAGGACGTCTGCCCAAAGAATTATAAGGCTAGCCTGGCATGAATGCATGTCAGGCTGCCTGCCAATCATGCAGCTGGCCAACTAAGGGCATACTATGCAGACAGCACCCTGAGCTTGGCATAAATGTGTCTAATGATGCGCTCGCTCAACGCTTTCTAAGGACTGTCCCCTAGCACTCTCTGGTCCACTTGTCTCCTTACCTTCTTACTAGCAGGCAGACGCTCCTGGTATATAGTCTGGGACAGAGAAAAGCTGGATGCAGTGAGTGTAGAAGAAAGGGAACATGCCACAGTGTTAGAGAGACCAAAGTCAGCATTACCTTAAAGGATCACTATAAGGTCAGGAACACAAACATGAATTCCTGTCCCTATAGTGTTAACACCACCATCTAACCCCCCTGGGCCCCTCATGCCTCCATAAATATAGTAAAAATCTTACTGTATTCAAGCCTGAAGCTGTAACTCTGCATGCTGTTAGACTCAGAAAAACAAGCAGTCTGCTGACATCATTAGAAGTGGTGGCCTGATCCAATCACAGTGCTTCCCCATAGGATTGGCTGAGACTGACAAAACGGCAAATCAGGGGCAGAGTCAGCATGATTCAAATACAGCCCTGGCCAATCAGCATCTCCTTATAGAGATGAATTGAATTAATGAATCTCTATGAGGAATGTTCAGTGTCTGCATGCAGAGGGAGGAGACGCTGAATGTTTGGATGCATTTTAGGCAGCCATGACCCAGGAAGGATCTCTAACAGCCATCTAAGGAGTGGCCAGTGAAGTTATCACTAGTCTGTAATGTAAAGACTGCATTTTCTCAGAAAAGACAGTGTTTACAGCAAGCCTGAAGGTAATGATTCTACTAATCAGAACAAATTCAATAAGCTGTAGTTGTTCTTGTGACTATAGTGTCCCTTTAACTATATTCATTGTCAGCCAGTACACACAAGTTTTGTTCCCATACATCCCTCTTAAGTTTCCATACTTAAGTAAGAGTATGTGAAAAGTAGTTAGGGTTGCCACCTTTCTTGGAAAAACATACTGGCCTTACTAATTTGCATAATTAAATATGTATGGGTGATATCACATGATGTAAATCACAAGGAGTGACATAAGAGAAAATGCTGTAAAATCACCAAAAAACTATTTAGTTTGATTATGCTGTATAGATGGATTCCTCCCAGTGCCCCCATGTTTCCCAGTGCCCCCATGTGTTGATTACTCCAGGTCTCAGCGTTCCTATGTATCAGTGTCTCAGTGCCCCATGTCTCCCAGTGTCCCCTAGTGTCCCCAGGTCTCCCAGTGACCCTATGTATCACAGTGTCCCTATGTATCAGTGTCTCAATGCCCCATGTCTCCCTGTATCCTCCAGTATTCCTATGTGTCTATGTCCCCATGTATATGTCACTAGGACACTAGGAAGACGGGGAGACCTGGGGACACGGGGAGACCTAGGGACACAGAGACACTGGGAAACTAGTGGATACTGGCTCGACACATGGGGCCACTGGGAAAATAGGGGACACTTGAAGACATGGGGACACAGACACTAGAGACACAGGCTGAGGGACATGGGGACATTGAGACATGGGGGCACTGGGAGACATGGGGACACTGAGACACCAGGGCCACTAGCTTGGAGACATGGGGACATTGAGACACTTGAGGCACTGGGAGACTAGGGGGCACTGAGACACCAGGGACACTGGCAGGGGACATGGGGACACTGGGAGACATGGGGACACTGTGTCCCCATGTGTCTGTGTCATAATGTCTCCCAATGTCCCTTAGTGTCTCAGTGTCTGCCATAATGTCACCCAGTGTATGTCTCCTTGCAGCCTTCCCCCCATTCCTTACTTCCCTGAGCTGTAGGCTGTCTCTGCAGGGTGGGAGTTGTTGTCTGGACTCTCTGTAGCTGCACCCCTGCAGATCAGTGAGTATAAATAGACAGGGAGGGATTTGCTGGAACTTCCTATCCCTGTCTGTCTCCACACACAGTGACCCCTACTGGCTAGTGCTGGTATTGCAGTAGGGGTCACTCTTGTTTATCCTGAGAAAAATACCAGCATTTGTCTTGCCAATATCACTGCAATATTGGCACCAGCCAGGCAGCCTCAAATACTGGCTGTGCCAATAAAATAAAATCCAGGTGGAATCCCTAAGAGTAGTGTGTGAAAAAAAAATGTAAAAAAAAATAAAAATGTTTTTTTTTTTTTTTTTTTTAAATCAATGGGCCTATGCCATGGGCCTGGGCCTGGAGCTGCAGCTCCATCAGCCCCTATGTTAATCCGGCCCTGGCCTTGGGGTGCCTCCCCTGGTATAGGATGGGGGGGCCAACACCTTCTTTCACTTCCTCCTGCTGCGGATAGGTACCAGGATAAATTAGAAGACTAGGATACTTTTCTTTCCAAGCTTCAGATTGATTTATTCAGTACAAAATTAGTCAAATATACTATAAAATCTCATCCACCGCGTTTCCTCTACTTGCTGTAGACTTCTTCACAGACAATAATGACACATAAATAACAAGCAATAACACAAAGTGTAAAACAGCCTAATAGGGGAGGCACCCCAAGGCGCAGTCTACACGAACACACTGTGAGTGTGACCTTTGAAGCACAATTCTTGTTGTAACAAATTGTATTTCACCATGTTTGTTTTACTTTGTCCTTTTTAGATGCTTAACCGATTCCCAATTATTGTTTGTTTCATGCTGTATAAAAGAGGTGATAACCTAGGGAATATCACCAGGGAGGCTGCATCGGTTTAAAAGCTAAGTATTAATTTATATTTTAGTGTTTTTGTATACTCTGGATTGTCCTGCCTGCTTTGATGCATTCTGAGCTTCAGAGACTCTTTCTAGAAGAGTGAGTTCATTGCTCTCTCTCTCTGCCCATTCACCCTAAAACCGTTACAAGAGAACGCAAACCAGAAGTATTACTCATTGTGAGGACACTGAAGATCTAAAACGAGGTT